GAACAACATCACACAGAATATGGAAAAGCTTTTAAATAAATAGGCCATCAGCTTTATTAATAACATTTTGCATAGTTGAGAGCTAGCTAGGAAGAACAAATGGAATTATAGATCTGAAAGCACACTGGTTTTCTTTATAAAGCTAGGGATGGTTGAACTCACAGCCTTGTATCCTCCACCCTCAGCCTTAAATTACAGTGTGCGTGTGTGTGTGTGTGCGTGTGTGTGTGCGTGTGTGTGTGTGTGTGTGTGTGTGTGTGTGTGTGTGTGTGTGTGTGTGTGTAGAGGTCAGAGGTCAACATTCAGTGTCATTCTTCAGGAGCCATCACCTTGGTTTTTTTTTTGTTGTTGTTGTTGTTGTTGTTTTCGAGACAGGGTTTCACTGTATTGTTTTGGAGGCTGGCCTGGAACTCACAGAGATCCATCTGGCTCTGCCTCCCAAGTGCTGGTATTAAAGGCATGAGCCACCAACACCCCGCATCACAATAGTTTTAAGGTGGTGATTCTCATTGGCCAGGAGCGTGCCAATCAGGCTAAGAGGGCTGGCCTGAAAAGTACAGGGATCTGACTGCTCCTAACTCTCCAAAGACATACCACCATGCTTAGCTTTTTACATGAGTCTGCATGCTTGTACAGCAAGCATTTCCCAACTGAGTCAGAGCTGTGTCCGCAGTCTGTAAAACACAGCTTTCAATGCTAATTGGCTACAACACCTGCACCTGCACCTGCACCTGCACCATGAATAAAGAAACTCAATGCTCCTAAGGTAGCAGGAGTACAGTCAAGTTCTGGGCCAAATGACCTCAAGACGGTGGCAGGACCTGACCACCAGGTAGCTAGTTCCTTCCATTTTAAGGTAAACACTGAACGTTTTATAATTTTACTACCAGTTGCTTAAAATAGCAGCACAAGAAAGAGCTTTAAAGCTGGAATATAAACCCCACCCTCTCATTTTATGGTAGAGTAAATAAATGCCCAGGTTACCTAAGACTTACAGAAGAGCAAGTCAGAGAAGGCACTAGAGCAGGTGTCCTGGAAAGCACAAAGGGTTTCCACTGGCCATTCTCTGGGAGAGGGTATGAGCCAATGTTACACTTACTCACTGGCTGCTGGGAGAAGCTTTTAATCCAGTGCATTTGTAACACAATGCTAAATCCCTTTGAAAAAAAGCGAAAAGATTGGTGCTTAATCCCTTACCCAGTCGGTCAGGACTGGAGATTTTCATTTTTGCCTTCCTTAATATGAAACTTAGCACTTTGGAGCCAGCAAAAATTTAACTTAAGGATTAACATTCATGTTCCACACCCCAGAGATCAAGATACACCTTCCCGGGATTGTATTATTTCATGGGGTTAGGGTCAAAACAGCTCTGGCGTGATGATTACATGTCCCATTGTTTTACCTGCAGTCCAATTCAGTTAGATCCCTTCCTTGGCATACCCATAAAGACTGCTTGTCTTTGGCCTTTAGTGTCATTTACCATGCCCCCCAGCTCTTTCTGGACCCATGCCCAGCTGTCTCTGCTACGGTCAGGCACAGGTCGTTCCCTCACATTCATCTCCCAGAGCTGAACTGTGGCTGTGCCTTCTATGCACTCTGAGCTCCAAATCTTCAGTGCTTGGTGAACCTCTCCCAGGGCCACTTGAGTCCCCTTTTCCACACTGCTGAACCTCATGGGGATGCATGTGCCGTGACTCAATAGAAAGGTGACCATGGAGCCAGGAGGGGCTGAGATGAGGCGACAAGGACAGTGCTGCCCCAGGACAGCGGGCTTGTCAACAAGTTCACAGTGAGTTCCACAGTTGTTCCTAGAAAGATTGTAAGTGGACATCCAAACGGTCCCGCTTTCTATTTGCATTGAGATAAACTTGTCCCCCGCAAAAAACTTTTAAAATTTAATATAGTTCTTATAAAGCATTTCATGAAAAGAAAAGACTTAAAAATCAACTTCTGTTCTGAATGCCTATTCTAACTGTATGAAAGTTCATTGAGTTGTATGGATTTGGGTCGGGTTGATTTTGGTGTGTTCAGTGTTTGTTTTGGCTTTTCAAGACAGGGTTTGTCTGTTTAACAGTTCTGGCTGCCTGGAACTTGCTTTGTAGACCAGGCTAGCCTCGAACTCAGACTTTATTTAATAACAAAAAACTTTATTTAAAAAAACAGATTAGTTTATCTACCAAGAGCTTTTTGTGTGTTGGCTTTTAGTATGGCTCACATGCCTTAGGAAAAGGGATAGTCATTTTTTTATGTTAAAGGTCCCTGAATATTCATGCCCCTTCACTTATTTTTTTGTACACCTTTTACTTGACATCCTTTCTGCTCATTGTTTGATTGATTTGCTTTAAAGCATCAGCACGTGCTTCTGAGCATCTCAAGAAACTATTTCTGATGAGGCTTAGGCAGATATTCCCACTCAATGCCAGTTTCTCATCTTTCTTCTAAAGACTACTCAGGACCAGAGGCGCTAACCTCACACAGTGTCTCAAAACAAAATCTTAAAAAACAAAAGAAAAACCTGCCCAAACGCTGATCCCAAACCTGAGTGTGCTCCTGTGTATACAGAACTGAGTCCCAGGGATTTTGAAGAGGAAGCCATAGTTGGGTGAGCAACAGAAGGTCAAATACAAAGGAACAGCCAGGGGACCAGAAATATGAGTCACTGCTCAGCCACCAACTTTGCAAAGAGGCTCATCCTGGCAAAACTATCGGTGTGTAATCGTCATGGTTGTAAGACTGTTTAGGGAACATAGCACCAGACTTGGGTGTGCCCTTTCATATCACTTGGAAGGCACAGTAGTATATATTCTGCACCGCTCTCCAAATTTGGGAGTGAAATTTCACTTACAATGACATCTAAAGCAAACCAAAGTTGCTAAATTAATAAACTCCAAACTCATTCTGTAGCATTTCCCCATTGTTTACTGTAAGATTGCAAGGTTTAAGAAGTGTTGGAAGTCTATACTGGTTCTGGGAATGTAATTAATTGCCTGCAAAGCATACACATCCCAGAAAGACACTTTATCAGATTATCTTATCTTACTCAGGATCTTATTATCCTACCAATTTTGTGTGGTTTTGGATTTCCCCCGACTTGGGATTAAATCAGTGTGTTCTTCCTGATGCATAATTCAGGAGCACTTGAAAACGATGTAATTACAAACCTCAATGGTGGACTGAGAATTGCACTCACTGACATAACTGCCTAGAGTGTGGCTTCCTTTCAGAATAGTGGGGTAAGGATGTCAGGTTCCTAAGTCCTACTGCTCTGGGCCTGCTATTGGATATCCATGCAATTACAGAGTTGGATGGAATCCAACACCACACACCACACATGGAAGCTGGGAAAATGCCAGTGCTTTTGTGGATTTAGAGGAATTTTGAAGGAGGAGGAGGAGGATAGTTTTTTTAAGAGCTATTTATTTACATACTTGGGTGTTTTGTCTGAAGGCAGACATTTGGGTACTGGGATTTAAATTCAGGACCTCTGGGAGAACAGCCAGTGTACTCTTAACCACTGAGTCATCTCTCTAGTCCTGAAAGATAGTTCTTAAAATAATAAAATAGTTGATGAACATGCAAGTATAAGATCTTTGAATTATTAAAGTGCAGGCCTAATTTTCTAGATGAGAACAGCCCTGACTTACTGCCCTCCTGAGGGCAGAAGACATTTTGCATAGGTGCCTATCCTAGTTTTTAATTATTTCCTACAAACTGACATTGAAATGTCTCATGAAGTTTCTCCAGAACTTTATTCCTCAATATCTGCACTGCTCACTCCAGTCTGCATGCCCCCATCACCTCCATACAGACTTTCATCCATTTTGATTTCTCAACTCTCCTTCATTTGAATCTAGACATAGGAAGTCCACTTAGACCCATGGAAAGACTTCCTCATCCAAGAAGCCTACCTCCCCTCCCAGACACTTACTTCTTGATTCTAAACCCACTTTGAAAGTTTTGTCATGATTACAAAGAATACAAAGCAACAATAAAAGGAAAAAATGCATTTTCCATTCTAATGTAAGATACTTGTGATCACCAGGTAAATAATCTCTAGCAGTTTCCTTATGAGTAAGCTCTTAGGTATGTAGAAGCTGAGGAAGCAGGTCATTAACTCCACTGTGTACAGTGGAACCCAATCTCGTCGTTAATTTCAGCGCACTTTAGCCATCACATGCCTCTGTGAGATTTCTTTAGCCAGCCAACCGCTTTTACTATTTCATAAATAAGTGATTTGATAACAACAACAAAATCCCAGCCTTCATATGTAAAAAAAAAAAAAAGGAGCCTCTCCACCTGTTTCCTTGTTATTGACTAAAAGGATGCACATTTTGCTGAGGGTGGTGTGGTGTCTCTGCATTAGTTTGTAAATGAGGCAGACGGTGCTGGAAGAGTTTTGGTGCCTCTCTCTAGGGAACAATACTCTCTTGCAATTTGCTGAAAGCAGGTGGTATTCATTTCCTGCTTTGCTTGAAGTTCATAATAAAAAGCAAACAGGTAGATTTTTGTTGTTGTTGTTAAGAATCTTTGGCTTGACAGATCAAAGGCTTTGAAACTACATAACTGTAGACTCAGACTATAGGACAGGGACTTTGAAGCAACAGGTGGGGAAGGCAGCTTTGCACAAACTGAATGAGCTCAGTCCATGCATTAAAATGTTTTCAGACAATTCTTGTGAGGTTCACAATGGATAGGGAAAGGGACGTATTATTCGCTTTGTGAGTTACTCTGTGGAAATGCACCAAAGGAACAGGAGGATTTAGGGAGCAAGGATTGGTACCTCCCTTCCATTCAATTTGGTTGGCAAATGGAAATATCTGGCAAGCTGGTTCCAGCTGGGTGTTGCTGGTTTCTAGAAAAGTTCTCTGCCCAGCAGCTTTCCAGCAGTAGTTGTGTGACCAATAATTAACCTTGTCACTTAGAGACCTTGCATGCCTGTTTTTAAGTATGATGAGTTTCAAAGTTAGAATAGGAAAAAAAATACAAAGTCACCTTAAGTCTTACAGTTGAACAATTTTAATAGTGCACAATAAACAGGCCTACGGCTTTGCAGTCCTCGTTTAAAACAATCTTCTCGGTGCTTCTAAACTGGGGGTGGGGTCCTCTCCCATCCATTCACACAGGAACAAATCTAGGGTAGTACCCTAAAGTGCATTTCTCAGTCATTAAAAACAGTACTGTAATGTGCTCTCCAGAGTCCTAGGTAAGAGCACGGCCTCCTCATTTGGGAAGTCGGAGAGATGGTTACATACTTAGTGCCTCTGAAAGACCCGTCCAGCCTTTTCACTGTGATGCGTCAGAATAACTTTTTAAGAAGCCAGCTTTCTCAGAAGCAGATATCTATCCTTCCCACACATAAATACTTACGTCTTTGAGTCATGGAATATTGAAGAGTCAGCTGACACTTCACTTTCTGGAAAAAAATTAAATATTGAATATTCTGAACTTGGGTGAGACATCAAGTACCAGGGTTCGGGTAATAGTGTTTTTCTTTCCAGAGAGAGAGAGAGAGAGAGAGAGAGAGAGAGAGAGAGAGAGAGAGAGAGAGAGAGAGAGAGAGAGAGAGAGAGAGAGAGAGAGAGAGAGAGAGAGTGTCCTGGAAGCTTGCTCGGGCTATTGCTTGTCCTCCTGGGGGTCATCTGGAAAGTCGGTTTCCTCAGGGGACCTGTCTCCTTCGGGGAGCAGCGTGGCACGCACTTTCCTCTTCTCTTTAAATCGGCCAGAGCGTGAGATCTTCAAATTGCGCCGGCTGTTGCATGATTTCTCCTCACACAACTTCTCTGACCTGGGGGTCTCTCCGGTGTCCCCAAGAACGTCGGAGTGCTGGTTCTCTCGAAAGCTGCTAGTCCGATCCGAGAAAGGTGGTGTGTGATCCTCCTGGGCCTCTGGCTGAACATGAGGCTGCACCCCCACTGTGACTTCCTTGCTTTTTTTCCTGGTTAGCGATTTCCACCATGGGCCAGAGCTGCTACTGTCCGCCATGGCCCGCAGGCCTGGAGACCCCGGTCGCCCCGCGTGGGTAAGAACCTGGGTCAGGATGTCTCCCCTCTCTCCGGAGTCTCAGACAGTTCACGCCAACCTTTCCGGGCTTCTTCCACGCTGGCAGGCTGCCTGGTAGGAATCCAGGGAGCTCCCTGCACCGGGAGGAAAGCAAAACTTGGGTTGGTCAAAGTATCAGGCTTCCTTTTCTCCTTCCCTCTGAGTTGGGACTCCAGCCATGGGGCCCGCAGGAGGTGCAGTGGACCCAGTGGCCTCCAGCAGGACACCGCCTGATCTACAAGATTGATTACCTTGAACTCCTGGCCTCAACCTTTGCCTTAGCTCCCCAGTAAGTGCAGTAGCCACCCAATGGAGGTCCTAACCATCCTGGCACCAAAGGGATTTGGGCTCAGTCTGACCCCTCCACCTGACTCTGACTGTAGGACCATGATAGGTGTCCACCTTCGAAGCCTTGAACGGCCTTTCTTCAGAGGAGCAACGGGGAGGGGTTGCGGGGGAGGCACCTAGCGTATCTTGCCAGTTACAGGTGAACAACGGAGATGAGGCAAACAGACCCAAGTTTCTCTAAGACCTTTCCTACGATGTTGAGTGGTGATGACTGGGAGTGTATCCAAGTGAGAAACCCTGCCGCACAAGCACATTGTTGTGCTTACACCAAACTGCTTCAAACCACTTCTGCCTTGTGACTTTCAGAGGCTGTCTAGACTTAACTTCCTTTGAAAACCGCCATCCCACTGTTCCTTTTACTCCCTAGAGGCCAATATCAGGCCGGTTGGAAGACCATGGGTCCCAGCCCCTCTTCCCTTGGCTCTCCAACTCTCAAGCAAGTTATAAACTAAAGACTTCTGGTACTTTCCCTTGTGCAACTCCATCCTCCAAAGGAGAGAGCGCAACCAGAACTCCGGAAAAACATTCTTCTTCCCCCCAAACACTGAATAACGGAGCCCCAAACCCCTAACACTGCAAGCCAGACTACTGGCACACTTTCCGGGTGCCTGCAACTGGATAAGACGACCACCGAGAGTGGGCAGGGCTCTCGAGCACCGCCCCTTGCTGGGTTTCAGCTGGGTTCTTCGCATCCCACATCCGAGCTCCTAGGATTCGTGAGTGCTCAAACGAGGGAATCTTGGGCTGTGTTTGTTGTTGCGGGTTCTCCCGGAACTGCCGGAGAGAGAGGAAGTCTCTGCGCCTTCGGGAGACAGCCCAGCCGCCACTGGCACCATCTCCTCCTCAGGATGCCCCGAGAACACACTCGGGCTGGGACTCGAAAATCATAAAAGCAGAAATGGCCCTAAGTTCTTTCCCTATGAAAGGCGTCCACACCCCCCAGACACCGTCAGCAGTGGGGTTTCAAACACCCTACTCCCTCCTACCTTGCATACCGGAAAAACAAACCCCCGACCCAAGGCATTTATTAATGGTGGAGGTGGGCAGCCGCGAAACCTCAGTCCTCCACCAGACACCTTAGACGCTTTATTTTCCACAGAGATGAACTTTGGTGTGCTCGGAAAAGGCTCTGTGAGAATTGCACAAGAAAAAGATGACAAATAATGTAAAAATAGGCAGAACACTGCTCTGGGAACCTCTCTTCTGGCGGCAGGAGGAGGGTCACCGAGAGGCACGGGAGAGCATTCCCGAGGGAATGGCAACGTGTCAGGGTCTGTCTAGTTAGACACAGAAGGACTCTGGTTCGCTCACCTGCAGGGGCTTCCAGGGTCACCGCGGCCTCGGGCCTCGCTGGCTCTCTGGAGCACCGAGGGATGTCTTGGGGTTGCCTGAAGCTTAGACGAGGTGCGGGTTGGCGCGATTTCGGGAGATGCAGGAATCGCTGTTGCTGGTCTGCTCCAACACCTTCAACTCCCGCACACTACCGGGACCACCCGGGCTTGGCAGCACGGTATGCTTAGGTCGCAGGGGCTGTCAGATCCGCTGCTCCAGGGCGAGCCCAGAAAGCCTTTTCTTGTGGGAGTTTCGCATTCTGGGGTGCATCCCTTTTCCCTGCTTGCGATACTCCCGGGCCGCTGAGAGATGGGACCTCGGCTGCTGACTCCTGCGCACTCGCTCTTCCAGAGCGTACGTAGGAACGTGCCTGCCGAGACATCTGCCCACCTGCTGGTGGCTGGCCAAAGGACTGAAGACGCCAGAACCACGGAGGCGGGGAGGGTCAGGGTGGGACAGGAGGCGGCCACCCAGCTACAGGTGCAGGTAGGCGCTGGAGTTCCCGCCCTCCTAGGGACCAGATTGGTCGAGGTCGCCTACGTGGCCTCAGCCTTGAAGACTCTGATTGGAGAAAAAGCTGCAGTGAGCCGCGCCCTGTCCGTGTTCCGTTCTTGCTCTGTGGTTTGGGTCCCAGGCTTTTAAGTTTTCTAATTCTAAGAGCTGATTCAAACTCGGACATGTTGGAGAGTTTCAAACGCTCTTAGTTAAACGACTGAGCGTTGCAAAGCATGTCCTTGCTGTCATTGGGCGCTATTCCTAGTACTAAGTAGGTTAACTGTCTTGTTCATCACAGCACCCCAGGACTAAGCACTGTGACCCTCGCCAGGCCTGCAAAAAAGCCTTGGCACGCGAAAGTTAAACAGTTGCTCTGGATTGCCCGCTGAAGCGAAAAAGAACAGGGTTGGAGTTTTAACCAGCACGTGATAGCATGCCATGACTGTGTTTGCTAGTATACATCATTCCGGTCTTGGTGTCCACGAACCCACAGCCTTCCAAAAATATGATGCCAGCCCTGAGCCACTGCGAGAGTGGGTTCTGTCACTGTGTAGGGTGCTTAGCTAGGTGATGACTTGACAAAACAGTATTAGAGGAGGACATTTTTCTAATGAAGGAGAAGCTACAATTTGCTCCACCACCTTGCAGGATGTCTTGAAAGAGAGACTTTGGGGTTTCTGTGTTCATGCTCATACAAGCAGGACTCCCGGCATCTAAGATAGGCAGTCCAGGCAGAGCACCTTCTGCAGAGCAAACCTGGTGGGAGACAGAATGTTCACTCAACCCCCTTGAATTTGTAGATTTGATAGGCAGGAATTTTATAGAGCCTTTCCAAGAAAGAAAAATACAAGGACTCTGCTGGTGCCTTAGTTTGCGTTTAATTAAAAAAGCAAAGATGAACACAACTCTGTATTTGAAAGTGATTTGCTTACCAGAGATTAACATCTTCCTTCCTCCCCGCTCTCCCTCACTCCCTTCTACCCTCCCTAACCCCTTTCTTCCTTTCTTCATTGATGGCATTTCACTGTGTAACCAAGACTGGCCTCAACTCTGGCATACCACCAAACCTGACTCCTTGGAGGTAGTTTTAAAGTGGGGACATTGAACCCTAATACGCGTGCTGGATAAAAGCTAGCTGCCAGCATTGAGGGGAGGATTCTCTCCGCAGGAAGTTGCCAAGTGATGAGGAAAATTTGTCTGGGGTGTCACCACCATTTATGGAGCTGGGACTTGATATTGTGGAGCACGTGGGTGAAAGGACGAGGAAAAGAAGGCTAGCTTGCGGTTTTGAGAAAGCCACGGCATTTCTCAATAAACAGACAGATCCTTCACTTCCCAGTAAGACAGCTCGCTCCTTATTTACATTCAACAATGCAATTGTCCCCGTTGTGTTTTCTGGGTTGTGTAGATGCACCTTATAAACAAAATAACCCCTGGAATGGGGTGAATGTGTACATGGAAGGGTACAGCGAGGGAGAAATGAGCCCGAGGCACAGGAGATGGGGAGCATCCCAGGGTAAGCAGCAGTCAGCAGAGCCGTTTCAAGGAGTACAGTGTGCTGTGATTCTCAAGGCTCAAAGAGCAGGTGGATAGTCTGCGTGCCGAGTGGCTGATGTGAAGGGGAAGGCGAGGCCCGACAGCTGAACGCAACACAGGGCAGCTGTGGGTGTGGCCCGACCCAGAATCATAACAGCTACTCTCTTAAGGGCTCAATAAATGATGACCTGCTTAAGGGATGAGCTTCTAGAAGACAGACATCGGACACCAGGAATTAAAATCAGAATCGTGGAGCTTAGAGTTGACATTCTCTCTTAGCAAACCTGAAATGTCTGGAGGTGCCAGGAAACGCATTACATCTTTCCACCTCTACATGGCAACTGGGCTTGGGAAGGGTGCCCGGCAAACGCTTAAGGAATACAGCCAGTCAAAACGGGAGAAACCAAAGCCCCTCCATCCACCCCAAGAGAGGTGGGGTATGTCTTGGCTGTGTTTGCTCCTGTCCCCAATTTTCACATCTCCTGCGCTTATCATTTCCTTCTTTCTTTAGATCCTGCCATTCTCCGTTTCTTTTCCTTCTCTATGGACACCCCCGTCCTTGGACAGCTAGACATTCATTTCTCTCTCTTTGCTTCCCTTCACACCCTCCCAATCTGTCACTTTGCGTGTTCTATTGTGCCTTCTATGCGTTCACATCAGTGCTGGACTCATTTAACCTTTTAGAGTGGGCACTGCAGCCAGGCATGAAATGAGAATCTATTGCTTGCAGCGTCTCATCCCCTGCCACGTTGCTGGGGCAACTACAGATGCTCCTTTCTTACCGTCTTCTAAGCAGCTGATCTAAGCAAGGCCAACTTTTGTCCAGAACCAGCTCTCTTTGAAGGACAATCCCCACAGTCGAGCCTTTGGGCTGTCCCACTCACTTCTCTTTTCCCCTCGAGTCCTGTCACCAGATCACAGGTTTGGAAGTCACAGCCTCTCTGTCTCCCTCTTCCCAAAGCTACTTCATGAAGAGTGCTGGTGACAGGAACTGGGCTAGGCCTCCACCTAGCTGTCCTGGAGGGCTGGATCTTTCTCCCATCAACAGATGTCCTTGGCATACCTTCTTAGTTTTCTTTTCATGTTGCTTAAGATACAACCCTGGAGCTTGAGCTTTTAGGCAAAAAATAAAAATAAAAATAAAACCACTGACATATATGTCTCCACTCACCAGCCTTCCCTTTGTTGGAACCTAACATCCATCTTTCTTGCCAGCCTGGTTCTCAGATGGAAGCAATCATATTTCTTTTTGTAAAATAATAATTTCTTTTTTATTTAGATTAGAAACAATCTTGTTTCACATGTCAATCCCAGCTCCCTTTCCCTCCCCTCCTCTCCTGCCCTCTCCACCAGGTTCCCCAGTCCCCCACCCAATCTCCACTCTGATCTCCAGGGAGGGTGAAGCCCTCCATGGTGGATCTCCAGTGACTGTCATTTCATCCAGTGCAGGGCCTAGGGCCTCCCACCAGAGTCCCAGCTGAGAGAGCCTCCCATATTTTGGCATGGGTACTCAGGAGGCAATCATATTTCTTTTCCACCTGGTCCTCAAATGCATTGTCTTCATGTGCTGAAGTTAACATACTTCATTGTAACTCACAGGGAGGTGTGGCATCCTACCTCTTCCACTAACAAGGCTTCTCGGAATCCCTGGGATTGAGAGAGCACACACTGGCACTAACCTTTGGTCTATCTGCAATATCAACACCATCAACTTCCTCATAAAGCATCCATTATCTTCATCTTCTTCCTTCTCTCCATGGTGGCTCCTTCATCTTACTTCCCATTGATAATCTAAGGGAAAGTTGCCATATCTATCTATCTATCTATCTATCTATCTATCTATCTATCTCCCATCCATCCATCCATCATATCTATCTATCTATCTATCATCTATCTATCTATCATTTGTCACTGTTCCAATGAGATCAGTATCATGCCACATGCTATCTATGTGTTCTTTCTGTCAATCCTAGCAGCAGCATGTAGTTATTACGGAGAATGTAAGTGGTACTTTGGGTAGAACACCCTTGGGGTGGGAGAGCCAGGTTACAGGGTGAGGCAACCTGACACCAGAGTTGGAGCTTAGACACTATGACTTTGGATATTTTTTTGAGATTCAGCCCTTCTGAACATTTTTGTTTTACTCACGGCCTTAAATATCAAGGTGAATCTGGACTCTGTATCTTCAGCTCACATCTCTCTGAGTTACAAAGCTGAGTATTTATGTGGTTCCTTGATCTTTTACCATCAAGTCATACTGGTGTGGTTTGAATGAGAAGTGTTCCCCATACAGCCAGTTTGCTCTGTTTGATTGATGCTTATAGTTCAAATATGAGCTCTTAGCTCCTGTTCCTGCTGCCATGTCTGCTGCTTTTGTCCATGATGGATTCTTATCCCTCTGGAACCATAAGGCCAAATAAAACCTTCCTTCTATAAATTGCTTTAGTCATGATGTTTTATCACAACAATGGAAGAGTGACCAACACACACACACACACACACACACACACACACACACACACACTGTCAGCATCATACTGCCCTTATTCTA